CCTGCCAGTCCCTACTTGTAGTCCCTACTGACGGCCAACTCACTCACTCCCTTTCACTTTTTTTGTCTTATTCTCCTACATTTTTCTTTTTTTCTTTCTTTTTCTAGCATCCCAAGTGTCAAGTGGTCGTTAAGGCCCTTTTCTAGGCCCTTCCTCTTAGTTTTGGCCCTCCCTATGCCCATGGTGCAGTCCGTTACATCTCAGACTGCAATAATGGTTCCCTCATACCCATGGGAACTTCCTTTTTCCTTTATTTCTCTCCCACAGTAGCCCCTCCTACTCCGATTTTCTCCCGGAGGCCTATTTTTCACATGGAGTCTCTTTTGACTCTATTTTCTTGAGGGAGGGTGATCAAAGATTTTTCGGATTGCTCCCATGCCTCCCACTTTATTTTTCTTTACTTTTTCTTGTCCTTTTGGCCTTCCCGTTTGCTACCGCTAGTGCTTGCACATGCGGTGCTAATATTTTTGGCCGTCAAGATGTCGATCTTCACTGTGCCTCTTATCTTAATTGTTTTCTCCTCATGCCGCTCCGCCCTTTCTTTTGGGACTTTCTCATGTCCCCGCTACTTGTCCTGTCGGTTGTCTCCGACACTTTGTCCCGCTGGTGGTCCCCGACACTTTTGTCCCGCCGGTCGTCCCCAACACTTTGTCCCGCCGGTGGTCCCTGACACTTTGTCCCGCCGGTGGTCCTCGTTACTTTGTCCCGTCGGTGGTCCCCGACACTTTGTCCCACCGGTGGTCCTCGACACTTTGTCCCGTCGGTGGTCCTCGACATATTTTGTCACGAATACCATTATTTTTACTTGGTCCCACGTGGTCCTAAGTGCCTTTCTTCGAGGTGCCCAATGTTCTTTTGGCGTCTATTGCTCTATGGTGGCCCCTCTTGCTTGTCTTTTCTTGGGCCTTGGGCGCGCCGATTTCTCCGACAGCGGGCCTCCAATCCGAGGCTCTTGTTAATTGTCGTAGGCGGCCTCCACGTTGGCCCTTATTTTCCAGTGTCCCACAGCCACCGGGGCCGTCCACCTCTCGGCTCCCTTATTCTCTTGCCGCTTGCCGTGCCGTATTTGCAAAGTTAATGGCCCATTGACCTTCGTCATGCTGAATTTCAATGACCCTCCTTGCCTTATACTATGTTCCTATGTGCCCGTGTCATCGCGCTTACTCGCTTGCCGTCGCTGGTTCTTTCCCCTGCGGTTCTCAACCCAGGGCATCATTCCTCCCGGTGGCCTAGTCCTTTGTCCTTTCTCTCTCTTGCCTCCTTACTCCAGATTTCTCTGTCGTGCACAATTTGGCTATATACCGGCTCTCGAGTGGCGGGATGTTATTTGGGACCTATCGGTCCCGACAACGGTTCGCATTTTGCGGGGAACATATCTCCCGCAACTGCAAGCACCCTTCTTTGTGCTTTTGTCACAACATTGGTGAAGCCCATAGGAGTCACTTGCATTTGTAATTGACCTACCGAGGTATGCACCACCGTGCAGGGTATATCCCGGGAGTCCAGCGGGAGCTGATCGTATCCAGAATAGAGGTCTACCAAAGAGTAAATGCTTCGTCCGATGTGAGATTCTGCCAGCATGTCTGCTTGAGGCAATGATCCCGCGTCCCGGACGGTGACAACATTCAATTTCTGCAGATCTCGGATCCACCTAAGAGATTTGTTAGGCTTCCGGAACACGAACCATCTATTCACGTATGGTGACGCGGTGGGTTCTGCCACAAAGGAGTCCATTTTTGCTCTGAGCAGTTTTGTTACTTCCCCTGCTACTCCAAAGTCGTAGGCCGACTCCTTGTCATTCCAACATTCGTGCTTGACTGTGTGAATCCTGACCGGAGGTATCAATTTCGCGCCTAATCGTCCCTTCTGATGATCGTTGAAGGCAAGAGCTAGGTGGAATTCTTGGCATGCTTCCTTAATCATGCATGTCTCCTACTCTGTCAGGAATTCCTCCACCCCTATCTTCATGGTCTCTGTTACCTCGTTTGGTATTCCATGCCCCTCTGTTGCCCTTCTTTCTCTAATCACCCGGAGCACTTCCTCCTCCTTTTCCATGGCTTCTTCCTTTGTTGTTTCTAGCAGGACCGAAACAAGATTGGCCTTTTTCCCTACTGGCTTGTACTTGCGAATGCTTCCTTCCGAGATCTTTCTCCTAAAAATGAACAGCCGGAATTGCCCGAGGTGCTTCGGCAATTCGAGGTTGGATACTGATTAATTTCCCATTCAGGCAGTAGCCTCTGCGGACTTCTCCTTCGAACTTGGCGAACGCGGTTGAATCCACACCTACCTGATGGTATCTCATAGCCTTGATGAGGTGTATTAAGTCCGGGATTTCCTGTGTTATCCCAGTCTCCTCCTCTCGGACCTCCTTTAGTCTAGGCAAGTTGGCTCCCAATTCGACCTCTGTCTCTTTCTCCACTACCATTACTCCCAGGGCATCGTCCTCTTGGCTCCGCTTTTTCTGTGGCAACCCCATCTTGACCCATTCTTTCTTGCTGAACGCCTCCTCGATTATAATTTCTACCCTTTCCCTCATTCCTTCCATTCGTGCGAAAGCCCCCTTTCTGGCACTCTCTTCGACCGATGGTGATCAGGTTGCTAATTTCCCCTTTGGCGTGTCACCGCCTGTCCCAATGTGACGGAGTAGCTCACCACGACCTGTCACCGGGTCTTCTATGTCCACCATGTATGTTCCATTATGCAGGTGCATTCCGATTATCTCTACATTCTGGCACCAAGGTCTCCCAAAGATTTTGTCATGGTCCATTTCGTCCATGACAGTCATCCGTTGGAACAACCAAATGGACTCCCTAACCACGGCCATGACAGCGCAATTAGAAACATACCCGGAGAAGGGAATTTCCCCGCCTGCCCCACGGACGCTTCCCGTTGTCTCTTTGTTTACTGGGCATCCCGTAATCTTCGCAAAGTCTTTCCTAATGAGTGTTATTTCAGCCCCTTCATCTAAGAGCGCATCGGTGTGGTGGCTTCCAATCTAGACTTTCAGCTTACCCACCGGTAGTGTGTGGAAGCTAAGTTTTCTCCCTGGTGCTGCCCTCATAACCTCGCCACCTTCACGGTCTGGCAGGCTTAGCCGGATGTCTGCGAAGGCCTTCTCTAGCTCATCCAGGTTCCCGGGGATCCTTTGGAAGTTGGCGACTTCTCGTTGTGCCTCCTCTTCCTTCTCTTCCTCTTGCTGTTCCGGCCCTTCTTCTACCTCTATTCTTCGCCTCGTCAGTAGCTGTCTAAGGCCTTTCAGGAGCCTGGGGCTTGCCTGCAACATGGTTTGGAAAGAGACCAATACCATGGTCCCTAGCAGCTTGCTAAGGGCGTCATCAATCTCGGGCATAGTTAGAATGGGCATCTGATACCGAAATTCATTTTTGGCCGACGCAGCTTTGTCTATCGGAGCCTCTTCTCCAGGTTTCCCATAACCTTTCTCTTGCTCCCGTGCCCCAGTTTCTTGTGACATCCCCGAGCCATCCCCAGCGTCTTCCATGACGGCGTCCTGTACGACCTTCTTTTCAATTGTTCGCTGCCTGGTGGTCACGTTCACCCTATCTCGCCCGTCATTCTCTAAAATAAAATTGGTCTGCGGCCCGCGTCCTCACGCCTGTTCCCAGGCTAAGCTCCGCCACGGGTTCGGCCTCCACTGTGGCGACGTCGAGGTTGTTCAGTGCGATTACGGCCCGGCGCATCGCACCCGGGGAGTTCCAATTCACTTTCTCTCCTCGGGGGCCTATGATTTCTCCTCGTAACGTCCTAGAGCACCTCTTGTGCATGATATCATGGTTAAGTCTTCGACACGCTCGCACAAAGTGTCCGACCATTGTACAATACTTGCATTGCTCATTTGTCGGATCTCTCCTATTGAAACCCCGATTAGCTATTCCTGCCGGAGCCACCGCCTCTTGTGGTCGGAGGGCGGGTCGAGCTGCTTGGGCTTGCATTACCATCAATGCGTTCTCTACCCTTTCGATTTTTCCGTCTACCCCATGGACACACTCATGCAGGGTTTTTATCCCTCTTTACCTTGTCGCCCATTTTACCGATTAGGTCTATGACTTCTCCTTCTTTCAGTAAGGCCAATGAGTCGGTTACAACCATCTTCTCAGCAATGTCTGTCACAATGTTGAAGTCGACGTCCCGTGTATTCATAAACTTCATGGTCTGCTGGTAGGCCGATAGGATCTTATCTTTGTCGAACTCAGTGAATTGCCTAAGGAAGTATTTACTCAGTATGCGATCGGTTACCCTCGAGATTCGCAATGCTAGGAGGGTGAATTCCCTCAGGAAATCGTTATATGTCGCAAAGTACCTTTTTTGTACTGCAGCCAGCTCTGTCTCCGTAGCCATTTTATCGACTGCCAGATATTTCCGCATCATTACTTCCTTAGCCTCCTTCCAGGATCCACTGGTCGCGACGATAATCATTATGTCCCTATCTACGTTCAACGACACATGCTTCCCTAAGCGCTCCATCTTTTCTTCCTCGCTCCACCTTAATAGCGCTGCCAAATTTTCGTAGTCTATCAAGAATTTCATGATATTGGCCCCGTCGAATGTCAGCTTCTTCTTGGCGTCGGCCAGGTATCCCTGATTTTTATTCAGCGCCTGTGTGAGGGAAGACACCATTTTCTTAARCCCGCCCTCRGTTCCTCCTGTTCCRTCGGGGGTGCCTTGTTCTTCTTTACCWRATCTCGTTCCTTCTCCGGACTTTGCCGTCCCTTCCGGGTCGAACCAGCCTAACACCCTTTCTCTTAAGCTCAAAAACCCTTCACATCCCCTTGCGATTATGGGCGAARCCGCTGGTTGGCTTGCCCCGTTGTCTATGACCGGCGGGTTGGTARCCTTCCCCGCCTCCCTCCCTGGGGACTCCTTCTCTCCTTTCCTTTCTTGGTTGGCGTCTCCCTACGCTCCCCAGTCCTATCCTTTTTTTATAGTATCGTCCTGGCTCCCCCGCCCTTGGTTTGTTCCTTGATCTTCATTYAACCCTTCTCCGGCGAAGTCCCCCTCGCCTTCGTTCATCATCTCTTCCAAGAGTTTTTCTTTATACTCTGTCATTCTCCTTTCTATCTCGGCTAGCTTCTTYCGGGTGTCCGTTAGCCTAACCTTCTTTGACAGTGCGCCCTCWGATGCCCGTGGCGYCGGACTGCCTTTATTCTAGTCTCCCCTAGTTTCCTGAGTCCCTCCGTTTTTTCCCGAGCTTTCCCCGGTTGTCACTTCCTTCCTTCCTTCCTTAGTATCTTCTGGGTTAGCTGATTCTCGGTCCCTCATGGACCCGTCGTTCTGCTCTTCATTTCCTTCCTTCCTTCCTTAGTATCTTCTRGATTAGYTGATTCTCGGTCCCTCATGGACCCCTCGTTCTGCTCTACGTCCTTCTTTGTGCCCTGACTCCCCTTGCCTCGCAGGCTTTCTACTTCCTCTTCTGTTGCCATCCTTTTCTAATCCTGCACATAGGAATTTTATTTTTTTTGAGATGGCCAGTTGTTCACAGCTTTCCAGATTTCCARGCCCTAAGGCTTGCTAAAGTCGCCCTGCCTTTGCTATTTCAATATTTTTTGTTTTACAGTGGCGGTAGCAGGCCTGTCTGTCTTCACTTTGCGGGGGTACCGCTTGCCTTTCCTGCCGGAAAGCCTGTTGCAAGGTTTCGATGTTTTGTCATCACTGTGCCTCGGTTCTAAAGAGGCGTGTCCATGCCGAGTGGGTCCTTCTTTCGAAGATTACCTTTTTGCCTTCCCAGCCTATGGATACCCCTGATGTCCTTGGTAGTAGTGGTCATCCTAGTCCCTCTCTGGCACCCCCTTAGATGGCGTAGGACTCCAGCCACTACGCCCCCCGCAGATCACTATTCTTGCTCTTGTCTCTATCATCCCATAGTTAGCGTTCACCTTTGCCACCTTCCCCGGTACTTTTTCTCATACCAGTTCCTCAGGCCCGTCCTATTCGTCGGGTTCTTCGAATAGGCTAGCCATCCCAGCAAGGTAGTTTTCCCCTATTCCTATTTCTCTTATAATTATCGGTCCATATTCTTCAAAGGCCAAGAGTGGCGCCCCAAATATCAGGATCTCAACGAGTTCTAGTAATTCACGGGCCCGATTTCCCCAAAACGGCCCATGTTTTACCGACACATCGTAAAATATTCCTGTCGTCTGTGGCTGGAAATGGTGAATCCAGGTTAGGGTCGAGTTCACCAAGTCCCTTGCCCTCGAGAGGCTGCCAAATACCAAATCTACCATAAASCGGGGTACTCRGCACCGCAACCCTGCCATTCGGGCTCTAAACTCTCGCCATCCTCCTACTTCCACCCGGGTTCTTAGCCCCACATTCCTTCTTCCCCAAACTTCCTGGCCTATCCGRTTTAACGCCTTGGCCRCCCTTCGGAAGATTGGCAGCAGCCCATGCCCTAGTGCCATCTCGGTTCCTAACATGCGCCATCCAATATGAGGTAAGTACACGATCTCGGTCACYCTCAGATCGGTGTATACGTCRTCTCCTAGCCCCCTATTGAACCTTGTGCCACTCCATAGGCATTCCACCATCATGAGGTTTGGTCCCTCCCCAAGGTCACAGCTCTCCATTCTGTGTCAATCCCCCGGACCTCGTAAGCTCGCTGGGAGCGACACGTCCCATCCGTTACGGTTTTCCGTGGGTGGTCGAGAGTGCGTGGGTCGTCGCGACGTTCGGGTGCGTCTCATCGCCATTCCCGGTTGGTGGGTTCCTGCATAGTTCAAACARAAAGTGAATTCCTCTTAYTTCATCCACTCCTCTGGACATCGCTAGCTATCCTCATGCCTCCTTACCCCACATCGGTGTATAAGTCGTTTTMTGRCCCTCTATTGAACCTTGTGTCACTCCATAGGCATTCCACCATCATGAGGCTTGGTCCCTTCCCAAGGTCACAACTCTCCATTCTCTGTCAATCCCCCGGACCTCGTAGCTTGCTGGGAGTGACACMTCCCATCTGTTACGGCTTTCCGTGGGTGGTCGAGGGTGCGTGGGTCGTCTATATACAGGCTCTCGAGTGTCGGGATGCTATTCGGGACCCACCGGTCCCGACACCGGGGGAGGCAAGCCCTTTCCATATAGGACAGAACGCGTTGTCTGGAGACTCGTTCAACACTTGCATGCTAGCGACAGCACGGCCGAAGCRAACACTCGTGGGCTGCTGCTGGCGCTGAGAGGCAAGGTGCAAGCACGTGTGGTCGTGTGTGAGTCAAGGCGTTGCTGAGGGCAGCACCATAGCCCAACCTCCATAGCTGGCTCGGGCTTGGTCTACAGTGAAGTGCAGGCATGGTCTTCGGGTGTACAGGGAGAAGACATGGGAAAGGGAGAGAGAGAAGGACGATGATGATGATGATGTGAGGGCACATACCTGGTATTGGCAA